TTTCACACTATGGTCTGTAGAAAACGTGGGGAAGGCCTTGCTTTTCTTATTTAGTTTGAATAAAACAAAGTGGGAGAGATATGCAAGTCGTATGACTCAGAGAATAAGAACGATGATTGGATGATACCCGTTCAACCAATGATGTTTCTATTTAACAAATGTTTTTACCCCATTGATTTCTTTTAATAAATGAACGTCTCCTTCCATAGCCTTCATTCCACATCTCGGTAACGCAAGATTCCGGCATACAATTACCAGTACGATTCCGTCTTTGATCTGGGATTACTAGTAATGATTTGCGATCATTGTTTATTTCAGTCACTACAGGAAAATGCAGCACTCTTGATTTAACCGTGTTTGGCGTCGTTAGCCCTACGAACCTTCGATCCCCAATGAGGTTGGAAACTGGGAACTCGCGGACAGAATCCAAGCGTACTGCCCACTTGAACACCGGGTGGCTGGACAATTTATCCCTCTTGCTTTAAATCCCTATACAACATTGAACTATACATAAAAGCCCGACGTTGGTTAATCACCTTGTTCACAAAGCTTAAAAAAGCTATATCACTATCGGAAATACTCCATAACCAGAAACCTTTGCCTTCTTACATGACAAAAAGCTTCCCCGGTCAACCGGTGTCTCTCCTGATATGCAAAAACCTCGAGTTTCTTTCATCAATCGCCGTTTGACCCTTTCTTCAGCCACATTGTTCTCAACTGAAGCTGCAGTTTGGTACGAAGTCACTACAGGAGGTTTGGATTGTGAAAAGAGCTGCAGCCTTCGTTTTATCCTAACTCAATTGGGGATGTTACCTATGCATTTATACACCGCTTATCGGAGCGATAAGTCCTCCTCCAACATTGATAAAATACGAACATTGTCCGTCAATTTAGACTAGCTGAAAACCGTTTAATAGTGTCTTAAGGTACGGCGCCCCATTCCTCCTTTGGGGAGGGCTGGTTCATAAACATTTTGATTGAACTGATAACTGGTGATTAGGGTGGCCACGGAAGCATCTTTGTACAGTGATGCGCATGAAACTCACACCTGACAAGTATCCGACTTGGTCGAGTTCAATTTAGCTCGATCATTTGAATTGTTTATGATTCCAAAGGCTGAAAATTGATCCACCCGGACGCATAACGCTATTGCTGACCGGCTTGATTTAAAGTCAAAAGACTAAAGATAAAGGTGTATCAATCCAACTATGGAAAATATATATTTGTTTGACCTTAATAAAAGCTACATAAAATATACAGACAACGGTAGGTTGTATCTCGTAAAAGTACAAATGGTTTTGACCAGATTGAACTATGCCAAAGTGACGGTATCGAGCCTCAGCGGCTTCAAACGTGGGAGGCGTGCTCTGGCGAACACTCTACCAATTGAGCTACGAGGCTACGCACATAGCGCCATTCTTTTGGATTAAACTTGTAGCTCCACTGGCTTCGTTTATGTCGTACAAAGTGAAAATAGGATACCTGTATAGGTTCGAATGCAGCCAAGGTTCACGATATTTTTTACAATTCCAACACTACTAATCGTCACTCGATTGACTGCCAAAATATATTTTGAATAATCAGAAAACTTCTCAAATACACAGTCATTGATTCGTTCATGACCGAATGAATTTCAGTGGTTTATCTTCCTTCTCACTGAGTTCCTGACTGTCTGAAATTGCACTCTATTGCTTCCGCTATGCTGAATAAATTGTTCTGATTGAACTACTTAAACCCATGGCTGCGGACTTTTGTGTTGTTCAGTTTGAACATCAGTCCATGGAATAGATAACGAAAAAAATGTCTTTTTTGGATGGCATATTCGTCAACAGTCATAATCAGTCAAACAGGATTTCAGTAATTCAATAAAATTTATGTGATCGTTCGTAAACATCACATTTCTGTAAGTAGACGCCGTAGCATGATTTCTGAGCAGAAGACCAAGAACATGCTTATCAATTCTTTCTGCATGTCAGACAAGTTTGTATCATCATTAACATTGTTGCACTGTCACGAGCTGCTTTCCGTCATTTCTTCCTTTAGTTTACCCTTCTGGTCTGCCGTTGAAAGGAGGAGTGGAATATGGTATAACTGGATGAGCTTAAGAAATAAGTAGTCTCACCAGACCCATTGTTTACGACATCAAACCCCATCACCTAGTGTCTCTAATCGCTGATTACAATGGCTCTCGAACGGGAAACCCAAAATGACCCATATGAGCAAGTTTCACGGCTTAAGTTTTCATATTTTAGTGTAAGGTCATAATATGAAGACCTGCAATCTTCCAACTTCTAGCTGATCCGTCCGTCAATTGGTATGCATAAAGGAATCCTATCCAGGGACATTCCTCCAACCATGCAGTTTTTGGAGGTCATCTAAGCACGTGCACCCGGATCGCGTTCTCTTTTCCAATGTATATCGCCCACCCTCAGTGGACCAGACGACGGATTGCAAAAGACCAAATAGTTAAAACGGCATGCAACAATGTTCAATCACTGCGTTGATTGGTTCGTCAGTGCTTTATTAATTGGCGAAATTAAACCTTCATGTAATACACATTGGTGCAGAAGAAATGGTCCCAAATTGGGGAACGGGTTTTTAAAGGTGAAGTTTTCGTTATACTAGTCTGTTCATCTGATGAGTTTGAATGTGTGTGTATGTGCGTGTTCGGTGTGATCACGTGCAACCCAAAGGGAGTTTCGTGCCCGGTGACGAGAAGAGAACGAAAACCTATGGGAAACCTGGAGCGAGACTGTAAATAGTAATTATTTCATTGTCTCAATCAACTTTCATTTGTCAATAAAAGTGTATTTTTGTTCCAATATTGTAAATTCTCTGTTTCGCATTAGCTTGGGAGATTAGGTCAGCGTAACTTGACAGCAATTTCAGTGAATTATTAGTGTTATCTTAAACAAAACAAGGAAAGACCGTTAAGGAAAACGATGGAAGTCAAAGAAAAAGATAGAAATGAACATATATACTAGCCTTGTTTTTCCCAAGATGCAATGATATTTTTCTCTAATCTTAACCCTCTGGCATTCGGTTGGTGACGTAGGTAGCTCTACGGACGCACATTGTGGATCTTAGTCTACGAGGCCGAAAAACGTCACACTGCCCCCCGGCCTTCCGTTTCTGATTTAAAACTACTAATCTGATGTCGAGCCGTGATATGATCGATTTGCAGGCACCCTGGGTGATTAGCCATCGATGCTATAAGGACGGATGGTGCTGCCTGAATTATTGAAGGATAACAAAAATTTCGCATTTGATTAAGCAAATAGAGATTGTTTCAACATTATACACAATTTGACTTACCTTAGGGATGTTACTGGAATTTTCCCCACAACGATTCTTTTCCTCTATTTTTCGTCTCCTGGACAATGACCGTGCCACCCAAGGGAGACGTTTTGTTCTACCAGGATTTCTCGACTGCCTTGATGATTGGCTCATCATGTAATATGCGTCCGAGTCTGGCTTTGGTTCCGGTCGAGTCAGCAAGCTGTTCGCAAAACTTTCGAGAACATTCTGTTGTGTGGATAAGCGTTGAAACCGAGTGTATAACATATGGCATTTGCGATGTGCTTTGGACAATTGTTGCAACAGTATGTTGTGCCTTTCAGCCAGCTCGCGTTCATTTTCACTAGGTTGAGCTGTGTGAAAAGTGACATCTTGAATGTAAGCACCACCATGTGTGCCTTCCAGACGAAAGCGAACTGGTCGGTCCTTCTTCTCCACTGATCCGTTGGCTTTGTCCTCTTCTGGACCTTCACCGGAGGTACGAACCTCAACCCTGTCAAAGATGATTAAAAGATTAATACAGACAGTAATGCTGAACGATACACAAGTTTTGTACTTCCCCACAAACATACAGTTACCATGTTATCAAGAAATGTAAATTTCTCCGAAAATACTGAACTTCAAAATCAGATACTGAATTGCATTTCAAATAATCAAGTTTGAGATATCTGGGATACCAGAACGCATACTAATCCCAATGTTATTCAATATCGGTGCTCCTCTCGTTATTTTTAACATGCGAATGTTGATTTGCAATACAAAAAGAAACTCATAAGAGAGAAGAGAGAGAAACGCATAAGAGAAAAACGATCAAAGAAACTCATATTCAAGGATTTTATTGCAAACCTGAAGGTCAAAGAATCCGATCGAAATCAACATCGACTGTATGAAAGAAGTTAATTGCGATACATTTGCTCTCTGTTGTGGATCTTCTACTTAACCTCGTGAATCATTGTTCAAAATCCTCTTCGAAGCAGAAACACAGAGCAGTCCAAACGTGTTTACAACTGACTATGAAACAACCAAGCACCCACCACAGTTTGAAAAGTTCGGCTAGTCTGAGTACTTTGTATATTGCCAGGGTGATACTTGCAATGGGTGGACGGATTCTTAGCTGCCGAAACGAGCATCATATCATACAATGGAATCGATCGTTTCTTCCATGATCCGATCATCTTCCGTTACGCAGCAGAAACCAAGTCCAACCCAAACTCCATCATAACAAGCGGTCATCTATTTAAGCTGCTCGATCTATCTAACCGGATCTTATACAACCATTTCCCATAAAACACAAGCGCCACATCCAGGCCCGATAAGGGAAGAAAAAAGCTGCGGCACAACCTCAATTCACCTTAGAGTAATGTCGGTCAGTCACCCTAGCACTGTAATTCGTTGAATGTTTCCACTGTCGGCTGAATGCGGTAATGCAAAATACATTTATCTATCACTGATGGTCTGCTCGTTGTAATTACAAATCGACTTGAGCGATTCAATAAGATTGTTAACTTAATTCACAGGTGTGTCGCTGGTAGTTGTGCTAATGCTAATCACAGTGGAACCGTCAAAACACTTAGGATGACTACGTCACACGACGCACGTTTATGACTGTTTATTCCATCTCATTATTCAACCGAAAACGTACATTTCCTGGCTAATCTTCCAAGTGAAAATGGTTTCAACCGGGCATCATGTAATTTATATCAGAAAGAGGGCTGTTGTGCCTTGCTAAACTGAAACTTTTATCGGGATTTAATGCTTCCTCATTAAAACATGATATTTTGCCGCAGTTTAGATTGAATAATTGGACTACCAAGCTACTGATTCACAGGAACTGCCCCAAATCGGAAGCCTTCATTCGTCCATGGAAGACAGCGGTTGTATTTAAATTGATAATTAAAATTTAGAGTTGTGATGCGAATTCGTTTACTTTTTTGCCAGAAAGGAAACAAAAACAACAACAAGGTGGTAAGTCGGCAGCAAAAACGTAAAAATTCATTTGAATAATAAACCAGAAGTCAAAGACATTTTCTCCTGAACTTGTTAAGTCAGAAAAAAAATAGCCTTAGTTCGGAGTCAGTTTTCATTTGACAGAACGTTGGAGCACTTGGGAATTTGACTTTTTGTATGCGTTTAGTTTCCCTAACTAATGTCTGACAGCCAGATAGTCTCGGTGCAGCTCATAAGAGATGCTACATCTTATGTAAGAACCGGGAAAAAAGAAAATACAGTAGGAACAGCGGTATCATGATTGGGAATGCGATTAATAACGATTCAGGTATGTAATTAGGTTACCACTCTAACCTTACATGTGTCGATTATGAACTGGTGAGGATGAGGGTAGGAGTGGTTATTTTCTTTTCTCTTTAGTTGGTGAATATTGTCGGTTTGCCGTTCTAAGGTTTGCCGCACTTATCGTTCTACTAAACAGTATCTTTCCGCGCCTGCCAGGCTGCTACGCCTTCGCCCAATCTAAGGAATCCGACTGAGTCATGTGGGGAGTTTGCTTTCGACTCACTGTATCGCAATTGGTGTAGACCGTAGAGCCACAGAATGGTCAGTTGTGTCGCACAGTCTGATCAGAATAGTTTATTACGTTGATGATGTGGGTGTGAGTGTGTCTGTGTGTGTGTGTGCGTGTTACGTATAATAAAATGCTTGGAGGGTAAACACAATTGTCAACCCATTACGTCCCAAATGAAAATGCACACACAGACACACGCAGACGCGGATAAGAAGTAATGTAATCATTATTATTGTTATTATTTTCTATCGAGTGCTTCAGCACCACTCGAATGGTCGGGCTAAATTAAATTACCGAGCGAGTGTGCTCCGTCTCTCTGTCACACACATTCACACGCGCGCACACCGAATCGTGTGTACAAGAGCTCCCAAACAAAATCGCTAGCTAGAAACGCAGCGGGGCACAAAATTAACCCTCTATAACACGACACAAACACACACAAACGCGGCGAGGCGGTGATCATTCAATTATGCCACAAGGAATAGCCGTTGTGAGAAAGCCACCGAGCGAATGAGTGTAACCTCTTGTATATTTTTTTCTGGATCGAAGATGAAGGCCATCAACATCTTCAGCTGAAAGAAAGTAGCTCAACAACAGTTCTTTTCTGCTGTTATAAACTTCATTAAAAATGAAGTTGTGATCTGATTGTCGATAAAGTGGAGACACCAATCGGTCTGATCACGGACATGGACGTAGATTAGAAACGTATAAGCACCCAAATTGGCTTAATGGACATACAAGTTCGTGCATTTGGGGAATTTGCCTGCAAAAATCGCAGAAATTGAATGAAACTGTGGACAACAGAAGGTGCATTTTGCACTGTTTTATCGTGTGCCTGGATGAGTGAACCTGATATACTAGCCCCTTGAAGATACAACGGGGCAATAAGCTCTATTGGAATCCACTTTTAAGTACATTTCAAGAAATTTGCATTAATCTATACCTCTGGGTAGTGTTTTGATAATGAGGTCATTTGTCGAGACCTGTCCATCGACAATTAACTGATTTCGGATCACAAAATATACCCACTGTTCTGTCAGAGAAGTCTGAAATTGGCAAAGACAGATCTGTTTTATTCGGTACTTATCATCAGGCCAATACAGTTCACAATCGAACATGTAGACCTAAATAGCGTGATAGTTCACAGTGTAAGTTCTCATGCGGTTATTGTTGTGATCAAAATAGTGTATCTGTCGCACAATCTCACTGACCTTAGACCGGGTGAGCAGCAGTGTCTTTACCAATTGTTTCTGCGACTACGGTATTAGTCGGTTTAGCCTGATCGCAGTCGCTTCGGCTGTGGAGAGGATTCTGTGTCGCACCTCTTTTGATTGNCCCGGTAGATGACCTTGAATGCCCCTTTCGTGTCAGTTCATGATCCGTGTCTAATGCGTCAGCTAGGATGACACTAGTCGCATTTTTCTTGATCCCTTCTGATAGGCAAGCTGGACGGTGTTTTCGAATCCTCTCTGATAATCACCTACCGGTTCTTCCTACGTATTCCGCTCCACAGGAGCACGAATAAGAGTCCTCACAAAGTGTGTTAGACTGACTGAGTAACTTGTCTTCGTACTTCTTTTTGTAACTGTAGCATAGGCTTCGTATTAAAAGAGATACAGAGTTTAGCAGCAAAGTATGTTCTTTCAATGACCTGGGATAATCGATGAGTTAGCGTTTCAGTTACCATGCCTCTTTTAAAATCAATCGTTGCATAAACCTATTTCTTAGGGACAGTAGAATAATGGCTGAGAGTCAGTCGTAATCTGCCTTTTGATGAAGCTTTCTGGTTAACCGTTTTCCCTTACCGCGTTGCCTACCATCTTGAGGCTTATAAGCGGAGCACATCTGTCTGGCTGTATGAACCTGGCAACACACCAAATTTCGTTTCTGATGCATGGATACAAAGCTCTGAAAATGAGTGTATTACCCGTTCCATGTAGGTTTGTGATTCCTGGATTCCTCCAGCTGATTCTCCTTTTAGAAGCATATCCAGAAACGGGAGTGAATCAGCATTCACTGATCAGCATTATTTTGTTATGAATCATTGGTGATTCATATCCACAGAACCCTCCAGCAAATCCAGTTGCAGCCCACAGGGTAATGTAATAAAAACGCTGTTCACGCATCTGATCCGTTTTGTCATCAACGACTTATTCGTTCCAATGAGGTCATGCTCTCACTATTTACTGACCATTCACTCTAATACAAACTG